ATTCCTACAGGAATGGCTTGGCTACAGGTTGTAGCCAAGCAAAAATTCTTAACTATGACAGTGGTGAGGTGCTGGAACAGGCTGCCCAGAGAGGTTGTGGATGCCCCATCCCTAGAGGTGTTCAAGGCTAGACTGGATGGGGCCCTGGGCAGCCTGGTCTAGTATTAAATGGGGAGGTTGGTGGACCTGCATTTGGCAGGGGGTTGGAGATTCATGATCCTTGAGGTCCCTTCCAACCCTGGCCATTCTGTGATTCTGTGAATACCCAACTGGAAAACTGGTTAATACTGCTGATATACATATTGCACAACCCAGAGGAGGGCAACAAAAACAATTAAAGGCAAGAAGTACCTCTCCCTTGAAAACAGGGTGAGAGACCTAGGGTTGTACAGTCTGGAAAAAAGATGACTATGTGGAGATCTTATAGCAGCCTTTCAATACATAAAGGGAAAACATAAGAAACATGGATTAAGACTTTTTACCAAGGCTTGTAGTGATGGGACAAAGGGTAAGGGTTTAAAACCGAAAGAGGATAGATTTAGATTAGCCGTAAGGAAGAAATTTCTGATGAGGGTGGTGACACCAAAATAGGTCCAGAGAATTTGTGGATGCCCCCATCAATGGTAGTGTTCAAAATCAGGGTAGACATGGCACATTAATGGAAGCTGCCCCTGCTTAACAGAATGACAGCATTAAAAATGAAATTGAAGCCAAACCTGCTCTGATGACTGCAATGGCCTGTCAAGGATTAGCCTTAAAGAAGTGAAAAGAAAATAAAAGGGGAAATTAGCTCATTAACTCAAAGTGAGATCTAAATTTCTAAGATGTCTCTTGGTATGGAACATTCCACCTGTGTCACTGGCAGGAAGTATGGAAGACAGAAAATTACAATCAAAGGCAGTAATACCCTGATGTGTTTTTGTTTGTAACCATGTAGTACTCCCAAGTGACATTACAGAATGTAAGGCAAGGAACTAGAAATGTTAATTTTTCAAGAAGTTCATTTTAATGAATACAGCTACTAAGTAAGCAGTGTTTGCTTGGAGAAGAAAATGGTAACAGTAACTTCCCAGGAAGTCTCTTCAGGTGTTTAGCTCCTGCACAAGCGACATGTCTGCAGCAGATGTTCCTTCTACTGTAAAGATGCTTATTGCCATTACAGTTTGAAAGTTCACCATTCTCCCAAATATTAGCAAGATCAATGAGATGATGGAGGTCTTCAACTTTTGAGCAATGTTGGATAATGCACAGGAAGTCAGTGATCAGTTTATGTAGCTAAGGCTTCTGGACTGTATCAGGCCTGTTGATGGAGTCATTCCCTGCGTAGCTGGGTCTTCCTTGAAAACAGTTCTGCATTCACTTCTATTCTTGACAGTAGATTATCAACAACTAAATAGTTTTTGTTGGTGCTTAAAACAGTTGCTTAATTACTTAAATTTTTCTCATAACAAAAGTTAAAGCAGCTAATGGGCTGTGTAGTACCTGCATGGGAGACAATCTGAAAAAAGTATAAGCCACTAAGACATGATTCAACACTTGACAAATCTCAGATGGCAGAAGAAGGGACTTGGAGGAATTTATTCAATCTTTCGCCACAGAGCAGATGATAGAAGAGGAAAAGAAAAGATCATGAAAGATTTACTATGCCAAGACTGTGCTGGAAAACTCAACTTTCTTTTCTAAAATTAGCAAGCTAATTCTTGCTCTCAGAAGACTATGAGATTCCTCTCATTGTTCTGACAATTAGATATTATGCTGTCCTTTCCTGTCCCATGAAGACTGAAGGGGAAAAAAAACAACAAAAAAACCCATAAAACTTCAACCAGAATCCTAACAGTAAAGTGAAGTAATTTAAAAGACTGAAAGGCACTGGTAGTACTTATGTGCCTCATGTGATAAGTATGTGTCCTACTTTGGTTCCATGACTTGGAAAAAGAAATCAGAATAATAAGGGAAAGCAGGTGACAAAAAAGTTCCTCATGTACTAGGCATGTGAAGAGGTTTTTTTTTGTAAAGTGGTCACAAAACAGCATATATCAAACTCGTACAATACATGAATTAATAAATGTTAACTTTGTTAAGAGAGTTAACACTTGAGTTTCATATGAGTTGAGATGAATATTAATGTCTCAGCTGAAATATAAATTACTTAATTTCTAAATTAATATAATCAATTAATAAAACATTAAACCAACTACTAATGACTTGCAGTAGGTGTGAATTAGGGTGTTTTCTACTCCCTGGGAATCTGGTTTTTAAGAAGTGCCCTTCACAAAGAGCGAGTTATTGTGGAAGAATTTTAGTTCGCATTTGCCACAGTTTTTCAAGATTCACGTAACATGGATTAAAACACTTATAGATAAGTTCTAAACTCACAAAATGGCCATGGTACCCCTCTGCATCCCTTGGGACACATTTCTGCCTGGAGGAGAGATGCAAACTCCCAGAACAGACCACTCACCAGAGGCCTGTCAGAATTTTTTTGACACGAATGCTCATCTATGGGTTTGCTACAGCTCTTCAGATGCGCAGAAAAATCAGAAGAGACAAGAACTCTTTGTTCCCTAACCTAAGACAGTGCCAACTTACTGTTCCATCAATTAATGTAATTTCCAGCTCCTCTACCAGGCCCACAATAGCAAGAAGCATCAGAAAGCACATGTATACTCTTTTCTTCCAATGATACTGGCTACTCTTAGTCGTCTGCAAGGACATAAGGTATGGGTTCAACTTAAAGCTGCATAAAATGACAATGATAGTAAGAATCTGTTTGAGAACCCTTTGTGCTGGCACGAACAGTGAAAGAATGAATGGAAATCAGAAACTGGTCTCTTCTTCTTTTGCCAGACTGGTTTTAATAAAAACCAACCAACAAACCAAGCAACCCTGCATTAATCCTCATCAGTCCCACAGTCTGGTTCAAACAAACCACACACACCTGAAAGAACTCTGAACCAAAGTGCTGGTTTCTGACCCTTTCAGTTGCAATGGCAATGTATTACTAGCTTCAAGAGTCTACAAAATTCTCACTTCAGAAATACTTTTCAAGAAGTACATCACAGATGGCATGCAGTACTACTGTTCATTCCCTCACAGGCAGTACTGAAACAGAAGTTACATTGCTAAATTCTGAAGAGATGAACAGTTTCACAATGTGTGAACCAAAGTATTTTGCTGTTATATGTTTTTCTTCTTTTTTTCCCCCTCCCCCAAGTACAACAGGTAAGGATAAAGGGTATCTCTTAAAACACATAATTAAATACTGCGACTTTAAAGGATTTATCTATCTGCAATTGTCAGATTTTATTCTTTTTTTAAAAGACCCCAGAAGTCTCTTTAGCTAGTATTTGGCTATTTCAACTGTAAACCATCAGCTGATTTAGAAAACAAAGGCAGTAATAAAACTGAACCAAAGAAGATTTTTGTGTTCCTGCCATAGCTGGTAGCCTGCCTGCCATATCAGATGTTTTTTTTAACACAGCAATGAGAGAAAAGCTAGAGTAGGAGAAGGAGCAGCAGGCATCAGAAAGGGAAGGCAGAAAGCAATACTCAGGGGTTGCAGGAAAAAGAATCCAAAGTTTAATTGTTTTCCCACAATTGCTTGTCTGAATACTTCACAAGTACTGATCTTTTAGTTAGAAAATGTTTCTAATTTTCTCCTACTGCCAAAATAGTATTCTAATATGCATGCAGATCTGAGCAGTCCATAAAAGTTTCTGTAATTTATTTCATTTTCATATTTGCTGCAAATTGGTCTTCTCCCTTCACATTACACTTGCAATACATGCAAGTAACAACATTATTTAAAAAGCAATTCCTGACTTTTCCATTCAAATATAACTGTTTGAGGTCAACTGAATCTAAGACCAAGAAACACTTCAAGGTATGTCTCCACTTCCCAACCCACTGTTTCTTATTTGTTCTATCTTGAGTGATTTCAACAAATGGACAGCCAAAGCTTCACAGAGAAGCAATCAACTGCACACGAAAGAACCCATCACAAGGCATTATACCAGCGACCACTTAGTTGAGAAGTATAAGTGGATATTCAAAGTAGTCCTAGAGCAATGGAGAGCAGGCTCATAATTCTTACCAATAAAAAATGAAATGGGAAGTGGCATTCACAGCAATTTATATATGCAGCTGAATAAGTTTGAACAACAGTTGTCCTAAAATGTCTTACTTGCTGCAACTTATCTTTTAAAGCAAATGATCCACTATTTCTACAGTATTTTGTGTACAAAGATGGACAACACTTTAAGAAGCGTAAAATATAGTTACTCTGATGCAACAGTCCTACATTTGCACAAGTTTAATGAACACTAACATTCTGTCTACAAATAATTTGTAGAAAGTCAAGCATTTACTTATGAACAAAGGTTCAAAAATGCAACTAGAGATTTTAAGGTACAATAATTAAGTTCTAAAAATCAACAGAAGATGCCTCTTAGAATAAATAAGACTTCATACATTTTGTGTAATTAATTCTTACTTCATAGTAACTGAAAAATGTTTTGCAAATACTTCATAGCACATATACATTAAACCACAGAATGTTTTGGGTTGGAAGGGACCCTTAAGATCACCTAGTTCCAATCCCCCTGCTATAGACCAGGTTGCTCACAGTGCCATCCAGCCTGGCCTTGAATGCCTTCAGACTGGGGTTATCCTCAACCTCTTTGGGCAACCTGTTCCAGTGTCTCACTACCTTTATAGTGAAGAATTTCTTCCTAATATTATAAAATAAATTTTTATGTTATATTTAAGTCTAGTTGTAAAAATTACATTCTACAATCAATATTATCCAATATGTTTTCAACAGTATAACTCCTCCAAATGAGGCATCTCTGCAACACATGGTCCTTCAAAGCTTTCTGAATACACAAAGTCAGAGGTGTGAAAAACAGTAAAATGAAAACCAGCAATGCATTTTCTAACCACTCAGCTCCTGAGACTGCAACCACCACAATGTCATTGTTTAAAGGCCACTTTCAACTTACATCTATTTAGGAAATTATCAATGTTCTTGTTCTTCCTCAGGGCCGGATAATCCAGATCAAGGACCAAAGAATTCAAGCCATCCTGAAAGCAAATAAAAATAAGTTGAGTTCTAACATCATAATTACTGCATCACTTTTTCTAAGAGTGGCCAGGCTGAGACAGGTTATATATTATTCAAAAAGGTATTACATTCCTAGTAGGCAGATAAAACAAGATCTCAAGTATACTTATACTTGAGTATAACTTATACTCACTCACCCCAAAGCAGTTAAAATACCATGACTGGCTCCAAGCCTAGAAACATTACAGATACATCACTACCCCTTTTGTGGCACTGAGACTTAAGCTGGAGTAATACTTTTAATCTTAACCAGTAGTACTCTTACTGCTTAAACACAGACTTTATATTCTCTGTTCAGACAAACTGTCTCATTTTTTTTTCTCCAAATTACATTTTTTCAGTGTATTTGAAAACTTTACATTTGCATTAGGCACATTATTACTTAAATCACGTTCTCTCGGACTCTCACTCTGGATATTCAAAACTTGACATTTTGCTCTTGGAAGCCAGATATGACAATTTAACGCATAATTCAATGCTCACAAAACTACACTGCTTAATTTTTAGGTTATTTAAGAGAAGACAAGCCAGAAGTTTGTGTGCCATTCTGCTACCAATGATCTGTGATGCCTTCTCTGCAGTTAAGACCTCTTAGAATAGTGAAGAACATCAAAATCTGAACTAAAAATACAAGACAAACAAGACTTTCAAGAGTTCAACCCAATTCCAACTTTTAGCAACCTAGAAAAACTTTACAGATTATTCTCCAAATCACACAGACTTTTTGAGTAACACAGGGGCAAATAAAAGTTAGTTTCAGACAGTAAGAGTCACAGATCACGATCATACTCAACATCTCCAGTGTTCTACCCAAATTGATATTTTGTTCACTGCTCTAAGAAAATCTTGAGCTTGTTTTTTAAGGTTTTTGAACTTCAGCAGGGCACAGGGATTTTAGTCAGAGACCACATCATGTTTATTAATAAGCAACCAACAGCCTTTCAGACTTCTTAGTACCTGACACACGTAGTAAGGCCACAGCTAACAATCCTCTTGTTTGTTTTTTAAATATGCCTGGCAAGTGATCACTTCTGGTTCAAATCTCATTATTATAGTTATTCTAATAATATATCTACTGGGATAGAATTAAAGCAGGGCCTGAGATTATAAAACACGTTCTGAATGCCAGGCAGTACTAAATATGTATATATACAAATAGGATGACCTCATTTGTTGAAATGTCATTTCTCAGTTTCACCACAAAAAAAAACATGATTCATGATTAAGCACATTTTCAATATTGAGAGATGGAATTGAAGTACTTTTTTATTATTATTATTGGTTATTTCTGCCTCCAGCAAAGGAAGTATTTAGGAAAATATCAGTAGCAGCCACTAGACCATGCACGGAAAACAAGGCTTGCTCAAGAAATTACAGGACAGATATATTTGTGTGATTTCCTATACAGAGACGATAAAGGTCAGAGACTACAAGTTTGCCTTTCCTCTGCTTAAATTGGTACGAAAATATCATTAGCATCTCACTAGGATCCTTTGAGGTTCCCAAGAGAATTTCATTTATTATATTTGACATAAATCTAGAACATCAGACTTGCAGATGTACTAAAATATTGCATGAAGCATAAAACTTCAAGGCTACAAGTTGCTTCAAAGACAAAAGCTCACAAAAGGTGCACCTTAACAATTAGGAAATCAACGAAAGGAAACAGGAGGCCTGTACAGATGAGTAAGGAATTCCCAACTACACTCAGACATGAAATAGAAGTGTACATGAGGTGGGAGCAAGGCCAGGATACTGGGAGAATGAAGCTGACATCCCAAGGTGTAAGGCCACATTAGGAAACTCAAGGCCGATCTGCAGATGAGTCTGGAGAAGTTTGAAAAAGGCAACAAGAAAGGGTTCCACAAGAACATAAGCAGCAGAAGACTCGGGAATACATGGGCCTGCTGCATAACAGAGAAGGGCAAGCTGGTGACAAAAGGTAAACAAAAGACAAAGGTACTCAAGGCATTCTTTGCTTCAATCTTTGCTAGTAAGATCAGCCTTCAGGAATCTTAGGTACCTCGTACAGAGGAAGTGGGAAGACTGAAGTCAGAAAGACTTTCCCTTGATGAGGACCAAGTGCCAAGACCCAGTCCTCCATGACAGGAATGCCTGAACAAACTGGACATACGCAAGTATATCCCTGATGGGATGCACCTGCAAGTGCTGAAAGAGCTGGCCAACGTCATGGAGGGGCCTTTGAAAAGGCAATGGCAATGAAGAGAGGCTACTGAACTATGGAAGATATCTGTCTTCAATTAGGACAAGTAGAAAGATTTAGGGATCTAAAGGCTGGACAATCTGACCTTAATTCCCAGGAAACGGGAATGCTCCTGAAAACCATTCCAAACACGTGAAGGACAAGAAGGTGATCAGGATTAGTCAGCATGGATTTATGAAGGGACAGTCGTGCTTGGCCAGGCTGACGGCCCTCTACAATGAGGCAACCACCTTGGTGGATGAGAGAAGAACAGTTGTTGTTTACCTCAACTTCAGTAAGACATTTGGCATTGTCTTCCACAATGTTCTCATAAACAAGCTGATGAAGCACAGGTTACACAAGTGGGTGGTGAGAGGATTGAAAACTGGCTGAGAGACTAGGCATGGAAGATTCTGATCAATGGCCAAAGTCCAGCTGGAGGCCAGTCACTAGTGGGATACCCTGGGGCTCGATACTGGGGCCAGCAACTTTTAACAACTTCATTAACCACCTGCTACACCCAGCAAACAAAACAAACAAACAAACCGAATTAGGGGGAGTGTCTGACACACCAGAAGGACCACAAAAGGCTGCAGAACTGGACAGAGAGGACATGTGAGGAAATGCATCTGAGGAGGAATAACCCCAGGCAAAGGATTCACCTTTTAAACTGTTTTGTATTGTTTTACATCACTTTTCAGAACCTCCTTTCGAAAAGAAATATAGTTACTAAGCCCAAAGAGAAGGCAATGAACAATACGCAGTATCAGTTGGTAATTACTTTAATTAAAGCCATTACTTGAGTCTTGATTTTAAATGTTCCTGAAAGACCTATCAAGAAGAAAGGAGTGATGGCCTAGGACATCATACTCTCCTTTCAGACAGACTGAAGACTTAGCACCTACTATTAAATTTGATGAAGTTTTTATGGACGATACAATAAATCTAAAACAAAGTACTGAAGTTGTAAGTGCTTATGGATTAGTCAATGCTTGGATTGTCTGATGACCTGGACATTCCCAATGAAAGTACTCTGAGTTAAGACTTCCTGCAAAAATCATACAATAGAATACGTAATGCTGAACTCTCTGTTTAGCAAGTACTGGCTTCCAAAAAAGGACATGCCATTCTATCAGATGTAGCAGAGCATGTCAGCAGAAATGCACCTCTTTACCTCGCCACACGTAGGAAAGGACAGCACTGAATGATACAATGGAATACACATAGGCCGTGTTTTACAATTTTACCTAGCATAGTGAAGTCCCAATTCTAACCAGCAACACATAGCTCTAAATAAATATGACTTGAATTCATATTTCCATTAATATATTTGCAATGTAACAGCATTAATAAGACTGTACCTTGCAGTAGCAACTTACAGTATCAAAATGAGAGTCTTTGTTACTCTCTAGAACACCTTAAAGTAATTAAGAGTTTCACAGTGGGGCTAGAGTATATTTTGATGGTGAATTACAGGTCCCATCTGCACAAATTCAATAAGAAAAACTAGTTCTCTAGAGCACTGAGCACATTCTATTTTGTCCTTCACAGTCAACTACCTTATTTGTCAGTCTTTTGCTATTCTTTCTTCATAGCTACTGGAACAGAATTTTAATAGTCACTTCAATTAGGTATGCATTTTAAGGGAGAAGATGTAAATGCACTCAATTTTATCACAAATTAATGAGGCATATTTTGGGTTTTTTTTTTTCTAAGGGAAAGGGGAGATCAACTGATATTTTAATGCTTTTCATGCAAAGTTATTTTAAAGGTTGTTTAAACAAAACACTGCTGGTGTGTTCTATTTATATCTTATGCACAAAGTAAGGGAAAAGAATTAAGTTATCAACCGCAACAGACATTTTGGTGAAACTGTATTACAAGGTCCAAAGCAACCATAACTTCCAAGTTAAACTGAGCTGTACTTAATCATTTCAGATGTCACTGTTTATTCCCTGTGTCCCTCCAATTCCAAAGTTTTTCTTCCTTTTTTTTTTTTTTTTTTTTTTTGAGGGCTATAAAAACTGAGAACCATATTTGTAGCTAATTTTTTTTTTTTTTTTATTAGTTCTGTCTCCTTTCCATGAACTTCTGGTAACAGTTTTCATAAGAAGCTATTAACAAACAGGAATTTGAGACAAGCACAGCTGCTTGCTATTTGAAAACCTCCTAATTCTTGTCAGCTACATCTGGCATTAGAGAGGCCATTAGTATCAGCACCATGATGAACAGAAAGAGCATCAGTTTATTTTTATTCCTGTGAGCAGACGTTATTAGCATCTTTCAAAGACACGATTCTAAGTTCTTAATCACTTTTTAAGGTAAAGGATTTCAAATTCTCATCAGCATATGCGTTATGAAAGTGCCTTGTACATTAGCATTTTGTCTAAAGGTGGTTCCTTAAAGCTTCAGATTTTCATTAAAAGGCTTAGTTTACATTACTTGACTCTAAGATTGCCCTACAAATTAAAAAGATGGATCCAAAGACTACATAGTAAAATGGACCCCTCAAACTGAAGATAAAACAATCCAGGAAATGACATCTCCTCTGTCTAGGCCTCACAGATAAGTCACTCGAACCAGGAAATATGTTATTAAAGTGATTTCACTGTTCACTTCCTCTTTCTGCTATTACAAAAGGTTCAGAAGCTAAACAGGCCCAAAATAGCAACTTCCAAACAAACACGCTGTTGGCAAAGACAGCTCTGCCCACACCATTCCACTAAAAGCCTTTTGCTCTTGGCAAACAGGCTGAGA